AGGTGGATCACAAGGTCAGGAGTTCAAGACCAGCCTGGCCAAGATGATGAAATCCCACCTCTACTAAAAACACAAAAATTAGCCAGGCATGGTGGCAGTTGCCTATAATCCCAGCTACTTGGGAGGCTGAGGCAGGAGAATCTCTTGAACCTGGGGACCGGAGGTTGCAGTGAGCCAAGATGGTGCTACTGTACTCCAACCTGGGTGACAGAGTGAGACTCCATCTCAGAAAAAAAAAAAACATGGACTCACCATTTCACATGGCTGGGGAGGCCTCACAATCATGGCAGAAGGTGCAAGGCATGTCATGGTGGCAGACAAGAGAGAAGCATTAAAACCAAGTGAAAGGGGTTTCCCCTTATAAAACCATCAGATCTCGTGAGACTTACTCACTACCATGAGAACAGTACTGAGGAAAATGCCCCAACAATTCAACATGTGGGAATTACGGGAGCTATAATACAAGATGATATTTGGGTGGGGATACAGCCAAACCATATCGTAGGGTTTGGAGGTGTTCACTTTTCTTTCCCTTGATGCCCCTGTGCACATAACAAATTTGTCTACTTTTGCTCCTGTTTAAAATATATATGTGCAGCTGGACGCGGTGGCTCACACCCGTAATCCCGGCACTTTGGGAAGCTAAGGTGGGTGGATCACAAGGTCAAGAGATGGAGACCATCCTGGCCAACATAGTGAAACTCCGTCTCTACTAAAAAATTAGCTGGGTGTGGTGGCACACGCCTGTAGTCCCAGCTACTCAGGAGGCTGAGACAGGAGAATTGCTTAAACCCAGGAGGCAGAGGTTGCAGTGAACCGAGATCACGCCACCTCACTCCAGCCTGGCACCTGGCAACAGAGCGAGACTCTGTCTTAAAAAATAATAATATATATATATGCATATATATATATTTAAATAGATAGATAGATAGTCTGCTCTCAATTTCTGGCACAGAACTCCTAAAAGCCTTGTAAATAAGAGTACTAAGAGAATGTTTTGTTCTAATATTTGGTCTCTCACCCTCATCTCTGACACAGAGCTCCTAAATCTTTTGGAATTTCCTGGGTGATAGGAGTGTCTTTTGTTCTAATGAATGACTCCTGATGGGCTCCTGGAAGGGAGTTGATCACCAGAAAGACAAAGCCATAATTAGAAGCTTGAAACCTAGGCCGCGTGTGATGACTCACACCTGTAACCCCAACACATTGAAAGGCTGGGGCAGGAGGATCAGTTGAGTCCAGGTGTTTGAGACCAGCCTGGGTAACATAGTGAGACCCTGTCTCACAAAAAATTAACAAATAAATAAGCCAGGCGTGGCATGTACCTGTAGTCCCAGCTGCAGTGGAAGGATTGCATGAACCTGGGAGCTCAAGGCTGCAGTGAGTCGTGATCATGTCACTGCCTTCCAACCTGGGCAACATAGATTATGCCTTGTCCCCCTTTTTCCCACCCACAAAAAAGAAGCTTAGAATCTTCAGATCTTCAGTCCCTCTAGAGAGGGGACGAGGGCTGGAAATAGGGTTAATATCAATCGATCATACCCACAAGTAAAGCCTTCATAAAAATCCCAAAAGTAACGAGTTCAGAGAGTATCTGGGTTGGTAAACACATCCACATGTGGGAGGATGGAGTGTCCCAACTCTACAGGGACAGAAGCTCCCGTGCTCTGTACCCTTCTAAGCCTTGCCCTATGCACCTCTTCATCTAGCTGTTCATTTGTATCTTTTAAAATATCCTTCATAATACATTGTCAATATTTAATAAACTGTTTTCCTGTGTTCTATGAGCCACTCTAGCAAATTATCAAACCCAAGAAGGGGCTCATAGGATCCTCCCAATTTATAGCCAAGTCAAACTGAAGTTGTAGGTAACCTAGGGACCTACCACTTGCCGTTGGCATCTGAAGTGGGTGACAGTCCTGTGGGACTAAGCCCTGAGCCTGTAGGGTCTGCATTAACTCTGGTTAGTGTCAGAACTGAAGTAAATTGTAGGACAGTTGGCTGGGGTCAGAGAATTGGTTGGTGTGGGGAAAAAACACACACATCTGGTCACAGAAGCATTGGGAGTGGTATAAGTATAAAAAAACATTTTGAGTTTTCTAAAGGCAAACACAAAATATATTCACAGTATTTGAATCATTTGCTTACATGTACATCTTTCCCGGCCATCTCTGACTATCCTCCCTCCTCCTGCACTCTGAGTCAGGAAACACGTCTTAATTTTCTTTACATCTGCCCCTCAGAACTTACAGCAATGCATGGCACAGTGATTCTTCAGCAAAAGTGCCCCCAGTTGTTTTTTAATGAGTGAATGAAATTGAATTGGAATAGACTTTCAAAAAGCTTCAAGAATACAATATAATAAAAACAAAGCTGAGTGTGGTGGCTTATGCCTGTAATCCCAGCACTTTGAAAGGCCGAGGCAGGTAGATCACTTGAGGCCAGGAGTTTGAGACCCGCTTGGCCAACATGGCAAAACACAGTCTCTCCTAAAAATAGAAAAATGAGCCAGGTGTGGCTGCACATGCCTGTAATCCCAGCCGTTCAGAAGGATGAGGCACAAGAATCACTTGAACCTAGGAGGATGACCCTACTGCACTCCAGCCTGGGCAACAGAACAAGACCTTGTCTCGAAAAATAATACCAATAACTAACGTATATCAAGCAGTTACTATGAGCAAGCTACTCTTTTAAAGGCTACACATGTTATTACGTTTAATTTTTATGAAAACCACGTGTGGACTTTACTACTCTTATCTATAGTTTACAGATAAGGAAACTGAGACTCTGATACATGAACATTTTTTCAAGGGTCAGATTAATTTAGAAAGCTAGGATTTGGACTAATTCCATCTATTTCCAGAGCACAGACCTTTAACAACTTCACTCTCCGGATGTAGGGCACAATGAAAACGATGACGGGTGAAAACTTTCCCAGCTCAGAGATCTCTGTGGTCAGCCAAGGCGGCAGGGAGAATTGAGGTAAGCCACCTTCTCTGAGAGGTCCTCCCTAAGATTTTTTTCTGGATTGGGGGTCGTTCTCCTGTGTTTCCATAGCTCCCCAGAAACCTCTCATGTGAGACTTTATCACCTTGCACCTGAAGGGCCCCTGGGCTCCACCACCTGCAGCTTTAGAATTGGATTCATCTGTCTGCTCTATCACTTCTCTATCACCGTATCCCCAGCACTTAGCCCAAGAACTAGTACACACTCAATAAATACTGTTGGTAATGCATAAAGGAATATATAAGAGAGAAAAGAAAGTTCACCTCTCCCTCCCACCATTAGTCTGTCACTCCCAGCCAACAGTGTCTGGCACACAAAAGGTGAGTGTCATATACAGGGAAACTCCAACCAGAGGTAAAAACGTACTCTGGTTTCCTGTCGTCTCCTCTTGTTGGAAGAAGGGCATCTGATAGTGAAGGGGGGCAGAGACATCCGAGTTTCAGGATAGAGAATGGGGACAAGGGGTAAGAGAGAAGACAGGGAAGAATAGATGGCAGAAAACACATTAAGAAGATAGAACTAGAGAAAAAAGTTTCTAGAGAGAATACTAACAATCTCTTTTTTTTTCTTTTTCTTTTTTTTTTTTTTTTTT